AGAAGGCTGGCGGTTCAAACCCACCAGCCACTCCTCAGAAGGAAGGTTGGGCAATCTACTTCCATAGTGATACTGCCTCAGAAACCCAAGGAGGGTCGCTATGAGTCAGGTCTGACTCAACAGCACATAACAACAACAACAGAGCTATCCTCAGAATCTGGTACCCCTCTAAGTGGCATGAGGCAAAAATCTAGCAAGCAGGGTAAGGTAGGTCTTTCCTGCATAAATAATGCTATATGTATGATTAATTAGGTACACATTGAAACAGACTATGGCCTCATTTAAACCAAATATCAGCTACTAAAATCTCTTCACTAAACTTTTTAACTTTGTTCCAAAAAGCCAAAAATATGCTTAACACCTATCAAACATTAAGAAAGAAGGTGTACACACAGTCATCCACTCAGAAGGGAATCTATACAGCAGATCCTGGATGGAGTGGGAGAACAATGTGGAACAAAATCATTAATAATTATAATAATAATAGGGACCAGGTTTGCTGGTCTAATAGAGCCTGATGGATCCCCTAAGACTATGGCCCTTACCTGCCCTTCAGGTCTGGAATTGAACCCACTCCCGTGGCTTCCATGCAAACAAAATGCAGGCATATGAGCTGAAATTCTACATTAGGTAAACACACTCCTTGGAGAGATCAATCACGAGAGAATAGAAGGGTTGTGAATGCACAGGGAGACAGCTTGGGGGACAGGAGTGCATGGGAGGGAAGGACATAGGGAAGAGGCGACTATGGGGGACGGGAGGTGCGAGGAGAGCTGTTGCATTGTGGGAAATTGTAGTCAATATCATGAGACGAAGTGTGTGTGAATTCTGTATGGAAAATGAATTTGCTCTATAAACTTTCACCCAAATCACAATAAATATTTAAAAAAAAAGAAAGAAGCTATACACTATGCTGGAATGGTTAATAATTAATCCAATATAAGAAGTAAATGTAAAACTCTTTATTATGTTAATAGGATAATATAAAAATTTACCAAGGTAAAAATGATAGCTGTTAAAGAATTCTTTTGATAGAATCAACAGGGGAAAAAAAAGATCTAGTTTGATAATAACATGTTTTAAAAATTCAGAGTGAAAAATTTCTTATATAGCATGCTTATTATGTTACAGGTAAAAACCCATTGCTTTCGAGTCAGATCCGACTCACAGTGACCCCTCCTTGGGTTTCCGAGGTGGTACCACTATGGAAGTAAGTCGCGCAACCTTCCTTCTGAGAAGTGGCTGGTGGGTTTAAACAGCCAGCCTTCTGGTTAGCAGTCAAATGCCTTAGGCACTATGCCACCAGAGCTCCATGTAACAGGCATCTGTTATAAAATAAAGGTCAGATTTAAAACTAATACTTGGGAATGGAGGAGGCACCGTTGTGGGTAAGAGAGGACAGGAGAAGATGGGAGAGGATGGTCACATTAGCTATGTGGTCTTTGCTTCTGTTTTCTAACCTGTAAAATAAGGATAACAACAGTACCACTGTCATTCATTGCTGTCTGTTAAAGGACTTTACACATGATTGACACACAGTCAACTTCTATACACACACGTTAGTATTGTTACTTACTTAATTTAAAACAATTACCAAATGTTGAGTGTGTGAAAATATTTTAAAGTATCGTTCATTTATGCAATAAAGTTCATTTTTGTAATCGAAAATTGTTGACATGAAAACTAATATCTTCTTGTTTTTGTGGTCTTTTCCACTAAAGACAATAATTCCCCCTTACCTCTCAGGGAAATTTCAGCCACGTCTCTAAGTTCTGAACTTGGAGTTGTTATGTTTCAGACCCATTTGGGAGAGTCAAGCTCAACTGTCATATTGGGAAGGTATAGGTAATATCCAGGCCCCAAGGAGATTGTTGGCTTCCCCAGGACTGGGACTAAGGTGGCAGGTTATGTGGATGAAGGCACAGCACTCCACCTTCAAGCAAAGTCCAGAAATGACAGAAACTCTGAGGAAGAGCATGTGGGGGTGGACATCTGGGAGTCAAATACTAGACAGCAGCGTTGGGAGCTATGGTAAATATCTCTGTGGCTAGGAGGCACAGAAGGAGTAAATGTTGTCAGAAGTGCCCCCATAATGGACTATTATACACACTTGAAAAATGGCCTGAATAGACTTGTAACCTATAACTTTATTATTTTTTATAGTCTAGGAAAAAAGAGTTTTTAAAGCATCACTTGAAAAATATGTTTTGTTGCCCTATACTATAAAAACAAAGCAAACTCACTGCCGTCGAGTCAGATCTGAGTCATAGCAACCTCTCCTTGGGTTTCTGAGGCGGTATCACTTTGGAAGTAGATTGCCTAGACCGCCAAAAAAATTTAACTTGCCAGAATACAGAATCTAGCACTCACCAGATCATGCCTAGATTTGTGAGGGAAATATCTTTGTAACATGTCCAGATACAGAGTCCTTCTAGCAAAGAGATCTCTAGGATACTGATCCAAAACAGCCTGGTAAATCCAGTGGTCTTCTTCACTTAATTGGAAGTTTCTGAGGGAACAAGAATGTCACATCATATCATTAAATAATCATGGGGCCTTAGAGAGTTCAAACTGCCCAAGCAATTTAAATTATTAGCAAGCAATAATAACTATATAAAATGAGGGTTTGCATATGTATGTGTGTGTTTTAATACAGCAGCCAGATTTGATGTCTAGTATAGATAAGTTTCTAAATTTTAATACAATGGGCTCTTTCAATCCTTTATTTGGTTTTTCCATGAGTTCCAGGCATAATTTTAATAAGTTTGATAATGAGGCAAAATATTTTTTAATATTATTCTATCTTGCCTATAAAGACATTTAAAATCATGACCAATAGATGAAATTTTAAAAATGGAAACTAAAGTACTAAACATGCAAATTAAAAGGAACTTTGCTTATTATTTAACAAAGTACCCATGTTAAGAAAGAAGGAAAAATATAAATATTATGTTATGTTTTATGTTGTTATGTTGAGTTGGTTCTGACTCATAACGAACTCATGTACAACATAATGAAAGACCGCCCAGTCCTGTTCCAACCTCACAATCGTTGACACGCTTGAGTCCATTATTGCAGCCGCTGTGTCAATCCATCTTGTTGAGGGTCTTCCTCTCTTTCACTAACCTTCTACTTTGTTGTTGTTGTTAGGTGCTATAGTGTTTCTCTAGTGTTGCTATAACAGAAATACCACAAGTGAATGGCTTTAACAAACAGAAATTTACTCTTTTACAGTTTAGGAGGCTAGTCCAAGTTCAAAGTGCTAGCTCTAAGGGCTAGGTGAAGGTCCTTTGACTTTGGCTTCAGCTCTACTTCATGTTCCAGGCCTAAAATGGAGGGTTTTTCTGCCTCACTCAGCTGCTACCTGCTGAGGTTTACAAACCCAACATTGATAAATAAAATGGCATAGCCCAAGATTAGCAGACAACACAGTAGGCCACTGGTTCAAGTCCAGGAACAATCCTAAGATTGGCAGGCAACATGGCAGACCACAGAGATGAAGACTCGGCCAAGTGCAGGATTCAGATGTACCAAAAACTGGAGACTTTCCTCAAAGCTTTTTCTTATATATGGGAAGCAGCCACATCTTGAAAGCATCTACTTAGCTGCTCACAGCAGATTCCACCATGGACTTGATTACCAGTCTCATCACAGGGAATAATTACATCCAGCTTTCCAGCCACTCAAAACCATAGCCCAGCCAAGTTGACATACAACCTTAACTACCACAAGTGCTGTTGAGGAGGCTTTGACTAATAGTGACCCCATGCACAAGAGAACGAAACACTGCCCATTCCTGTGCCAGCCTCACAATCCTCGCTATGCTTGAGCCCATTTTGGAGCCACTGTGTCAATCCATCTTGTTGAGGGTCTTCTCCTCTTTTGCTGACTCTACTTCAACCAACATTTCTTTCTTTCTCCAGGAATTGTCCCTCCTGAAAACTTGAACCAAGTAAGTATGTTAGATGAAGTCTGGCCATTCTCATTTCTAAGGAGAATTCTGGCTGCACTTTTTCCAAGAAAGATTTGTTCATTCCTGTGGCAGTCCATATTACATTCAATATTCTTCACCAACCAAACCCAAAAAACCAAACTCACTGCTGTCTAGTTGAATCCGACTCATAGCACAACCCCTCCTTGGGTTTCAGAGGCAGTATCACTACAAAAGTAGATTGTCCCATCTTCCTTCTGAGGAGTGGCTGGTGGGTTTGAACTGCCAGGCTTCTGGTTAGCAGTCACATGCCTTAGGCACTATGCCACCACACACCATAATTCAAATACATCCATTCTTCTGTGGTCTTCCTTGTTCATCATCCAGCTCTCACATGCATATGAGGTGATTGAAAATATCATGGCTTTGACAACACATGCCATAGTCTTCAAAGTGGCATCTTTGCTATTTAACACTTTAAAAGGTCTTTTGCAGTAAATTTTCCCAATGCAATATGTCCTTTGATTTCTTGACTGCTTTTTCCATGCTTTTTTGATTGTGGATGCAAGTAATATGAAATCCCTGAAAATTTCAATCTTTTCTCCATTTATCATGACATTGCTTATTGGTCCAATAGGGAGGACTTTTGTTTTCTTTATGGCGAGATGTAAATCCATACTAAAAGCTGCTGTTTTTGATCTTCGTCGGTGTTTCAGCAAGCAAGGTTGTGTTATCTATATATTGCAAGTTGTAAATGAGTCTTCCTCCAATTCTGATGCCACATTCATTCTTCTTCATATGGTCCAGCTTCTGAGATTATTTGTTCAGCATACAGACTGAAAAAGTATGGTGAAAGCATACAGCCCTGATGCACACCCTTCCTGATTTTAAACCATTCAGTGTCCCCTTGTTCTGTTCGAACTACTGCCTCTTGGTCTATGTACAAGTTCTGCATGAGACAGTTAAGCATTCTGGAATTCCCATTCTTCACAATGTTATCCATAATTTGTTAAGATCCTCACAATCAAATGCCTTTGCATAGTCAATAAACACAGGTAAACATCTTTTTCATTCTTTGCTTTCAGCCAAGATCTATCTGACATCAGCAATGATATCCCTCATTCCAAGTCCTCTTCTGAAACCAGCTTGAATTTCTGGCAATTCCCTGTCTATACACTACTACAATAATTTTTTAATTATTTTCAGCAAAAATTTTACTGCATGTGATATTAATGATATTGCTAAATAATTTCTGCATTCTGTTGGATCACTTTTCTTTAGGATGGGCACAAATATGGATCACTTCCAGTTGGCCAGGTTGCTGTCTTCCAAATTGCTTGGCACAGAGGACAGAACACTTTTAGTGTTGCATCTGTTTGTTGAAACAACTCAGTTGGTATTCTGTCAACTCCTGGAGTCTTGTTTTTCATCAGTTCTTTCAGTGCAGCTTGGACTTCTTCCTTCAATATCATTAGTTCTTGATCATAAGCTACCTCCTGATATCGTTGAATCTCGATCAATTGTATTCCTTACATAGCCCTTTCATGCTTCCTGCATCATTCAATACTTTGCCCATAGAATCCTTCAATATTGCAACTTGAGGCTTGAATTTTTTCTTCAGCTTTTTCTGCTTGAGAAATGCCTAAGGTTTTCTAACTCCCTTTTGGTTTTCTAACTCCAGTTCTTTGTGCATTTCATTATAATACTTTACTTAACCTTCTCAAGCCACCTTTTGAAATCTTCTGTTCAGCTCTTTCACTTCATCGTTTCTTCCATTCCCTTTAGCTACTCTCCATTCAAGAGCAAATTTCAGAGTCTCTTCTCACATCCATGTTTATCTTTCCTTCCTTCCTTGTTTTTTAAATGACCCTTTTCTTTCTTTATATATGATGCTCTTGATGTCATCCCACAACTCATCTGGTCCTTAGTCATGGGTGTTCAATGCATCACATCTATACTCCAGGTCTCTAAGTTCAGGTTGGATATAATTGCGGTGTATTTTGGCTCTCACAGATTTGTTTTAATTTTCTTCAGCTGTATCGTGTGCTTGTATATAAGGAATTGATGGTCTGTTCCACAGTCAGTCCCTGGCTTTGTTCTGAATGATGAAATTGAGCTGCTTCATCATCTCCTTCCAGAGAGTTAGTCAACTTGATTCCTGTGTATTCCATCTGGCTAGGTCCATGTGTATAATCACTGTTAATGTTGTGGAAAAAGGTGCTTGAAATGAATGTCATTGGTCTTGCAAAATTCTATCATTTCCAATATTGTTTTTATTCACAAGATGAAATTTACAACTACAGATCCTTCTTTGTTTCCAACTTTCATGTTCCAATTGCCAGTAATTATCAATGCATCTTGATTGCTATAGTTGATCAATTTCAGACATTGGAATTTGGTAAAATTCTTCTATTTCTTCATCTTTGGCTTTCATAGTTGGTGGATAAATTTGAATAGCCATATTAACTGGTCTTCATTGTGATGCATGTGGATATTATTCTATCACTGACAACAATCTTCAGGCTAGATCTTGAAATCTTCTTCTTGACTATGAATGTAATGCCATTCCTCTTCAAATTGTCTATGTAAGTGTAGACAGAGTTGAATGAACAACTACCTAAAGGAAAATAAAGACTGAGGACATTTATATAAGGTTTAACTTTAAAGGTAAGTCTACAATTATCTTTTATGTTATCCTCTTGACTCTTGGTTGTGAGGCTAAGACTAGATATTAGAAGTGAAAAGATAACAAATATTATCACATTGCACTAAAGAAATCATGTGTAAATAGGGATCATTTCCAGTCATCAAGTTACCTTCTCTCCAACATGCTTGCCATTAAAAAGGTCTTTTTCACTTTAAAACTCTAGTCACTGGCTTGATTTGTGTTCTATATAGAGTATTAGCAAAGCTCTAAGCAGAAGGAAAAGATTTTAATGTCAGCTTGAACTCTAAACTGAATTAATCTGCTCTGTGTGTATCCCAAGTTTATTTGCATAGTATTATCCCTGTTTAATAAATTAGAAAATCAAATACAGATGCAATCAGAGAGAATATTATTAGCAACAAATATTTCTTTGATCCAATATGGAAATTTGCTATTGTTTATTTCTACTCTATCATTGGTCTTTGACTTTAAAGTTATTTGTGCAATTCAAAGACTCCTTTTTTATAATATGTCTTCTGTGCCCCTGAAAAATATTTGACGATTGCAAACAGGATAATATACCTTTTACATCTGTAATACTAATGGGAATTCCACTGTCCTGATACAAGGTCACCTAGTTTCTGCAAAACACTTAATAATTTTGGTAAGACTCTAGAAAAAAAAGTCTTTTTTAAAGGAGAAAAGAAAATCCTCCTACTAGCTCTATACTAGGAAGAAAAAGAGGGCTAGAGGTGGTCTACCATGAAGAATACAATTCTTGAGAATGACCTAATTCTCAGTTATAGAGCAAGAAGAATTTGAGATGTCTACTCATTTAATACGATATAAGTTTTGGTTATGTCTGAATCAAATATGATTTATAGGCAGTCCAAGTCTTCTTTGAATAAAGTATTTCAAATAGGAGACGTAA